CCCAGGACTTTTCGCCTTCCCTATTCCATCCCTAGTCACGTCCGTCTGCCTCTTTCCGAACTTTCCTTTTCCATTGTTCCCCTTCTCCTAGGTCCCATCCTCTCCTTTGCTTGATCCTCATCTCCCACCCATCTTCTTCCAATCTCTCATCTCTCCCTCTCGTTATAGCCCCTTCCTCTCCTCCTCCTTTCCTTCCCTTTCCATCCCTCCCCCTAATTCTGTCTCCTACCTGTCCCCCATCCTTTTTCTCCTCTCTTCCCCTTCTTCCTCTCCCCCTCCCTCTTCCCTTCTCCCCATGACTATCACCCCTCCACCCCTCACCCCGCTCACATAAAACACCCAGGGGCTCCGCGCCACACAATTTAGGGAATGCGCTACTCACAGCCGCCTCATTAATTATATTAATTAAGGAAGAATGCAACCATAGCGTCAGCGGATCATTCAAACTCTTGCTGATGAGAGTATAAATAAAATTTGTGTTTTGTATGTTGATTCCCGGTGGACTCTGCACATGTTTACGAACATCTAACCAGATATTTGGGTCAAAATCTGGTTTGAAACTATTCTCAAACACAATGGGAGAGAGGGGGGGGGGGGAATTTAAGGAAGCTACTGGCTTCCTGTCCCCGTCAAGGCCACTAGAGGGTATATATTATTTATATGCGTATATCACAGATTACTGAAGTGAGAAAAAATGATTCCTTGTTGCTATAAACAAGTGAATAAAGCAGCCAAAAAATATTATAATTCGGCGAGCTGAGACTGAGGGTAAAACTCCCACTCCCAGAGAACTGTGGAGTAAAAATAATCGTTAATTAAGGACTCAACGACAGCGTCGTAACACAGTTGTGATAGACAGGTGGAAATACGCACCAATTGTAACATTTACCGCAGTGCGTCGTGTCGTCATGCTCTGTACTGCCAGAGCTGGTGGGAAGTGTCAGCTGTTGTGGCAAAATAAAAGGCTCTTCTGTCATGAGATGCAAACCCAATGTTTTGTTCTAATACCACAGTGGTATATACGCTCTCAGCTCTCGAGGGCCGGGTTCAAGCCCCTTTCACCAGACACTGGTGGTACGCGAACAAGGGGACACAGGTGGAGACCGAGTATCCAAATGAGCCACAGGGACGTTAGAAAGAACTTTTTCAGGGTCAGAGTAGTTAGTAAATGGAATGCACTAGGAAGTGATGTGGTGGAGGCGGACTCCATACACAGTTTCAAATGTAGATATAATAGAGCCCAGTAGGCTCGGGAATCTGTACACCAGTTGATTGACGGTTGAGAGGCGGGACCAGAGAGCCAGAGCTCAACCCCTGCAAGAACAACTAGGTGAGAACATAGTTTACCGACCAGTAAATAGGAACAAGGGAACCTATAGAGTTAGACATCTGTTGTGGGTTGCATGACGGTCAGTAGTTGACCTAATGGGACTTCGATTAGCCTAAGTATACAGGCTACGGGGATCACTCACACAATTAAAAGGGGGGAGAGGGGGGGGGCCCCAACACAGAAAATAAGAGGGCGATATAAGGGGGGAAAAAAAAACTTAAGAAAAAAAATTCACCAGAATACACGTACACAATTCACAAAATACAAAATATAAAACACGAATTCACAGATTACACACATGTATTCTGGTGAATATACCCTACAAAAAGTTCTCTTATAAGTTGTGAGACCTACTGAGGCCATACAGTGGCCTCGAACCCGCCTGGGAAGTCTAGGGATGCGGGTTCGACCCCATTATTTCTCCTGAACATTTTCTCTCTCTCTCTCTCTCTCTCTCTCTCTCTCTCTCTCTCTCTCTCTCTCTCTCTCTCTCTCTCTCTCTCTCTCTCTCTTCACACATTGTTGTCCCTAGCCAGACCTCTACCTAATCCCCTTATCATTAACATGTCTCATCTTCTATTAGGATCTAATGCTTTTCCTATTTCCAAATGTATTCAAATTCTCTCTCTTAAAATCACACAGGCCAAACTGTCAATGTGTGTTCTCCTTCAACTTGGTATGTGGTTGTTGTCACTTGAGAGGGGCGAGGCTCCCGTCACTTGAGGGGGCGAGGCTCCCGTCACTTGAGGGGGCGAGGCTCCCGTCACTTGAGGGGGCGAGGCTCCCGTCACTTGAAGGGGCGAGGCTCCCGTCACTTGAGGGGGCGAGGCTCCCGTCACTTGGCACTTGAGGGGGCGAGGCTCCCGTCACTTGAGGGGGCGAGGCTCCCGTCACTTGAGGGGGCGAGGCTCCCGTCACTTGAGGGGGCGAGGCTCCCGTCACTTGAGGGGGCGAGGCTCCCGTCACTTGAGGGGGGCGAGGCTCCCGTCACTTGAGGGGGCGAGGCTCCCGTCACTTCAGGGGGGCGAGGCTCCCGTCACTTGGCACTTGAGGGGGCGAGGCTCCCGTCACTTGAGGGGGCGAGGCTCCCGTCACTTGAGGGGGCGAGGCTCCCGTCACTTGAGGGGGCGAGGCTCCCGTCACTTGAGGGGGGCGAGGCTCCCGTCACTTGAGGGGGCGAGGCTCCCGTCACTTGAGGGGACTAAAGCTGTAGAACCTAAAAGACTGTGACTTGTTGTTAAAGGAACCGAGTGTCCGAGGACATTAGAACAAGGAGGAACAAGGTACATAATTCAGTGGACATGGTTTTGGAAAATAGAATAAGGTGGTTGGGAGCACAAAGTATAAAGATATATATATGTCGTACCTAGTACCCAGAACGCACTTCTCAGCCTACTATGCAAGGCACGATTTGCCTAATAAGCCAAGTTTTGATGAACTAATGCTTTTTCGACTACCTAACCTAACCTAACATTTTCGGCTACCTAACCTAACCTAACCTATAAAGATAGGTTAGGTTAGGTAGGGTTGGTTAGGTTCGGTCATATATCTATGTTAATTTTAACTCCAATAAAAAAAAAATTGACCTCGTACATAATGAAATGGGTAGCTTTATCATTTCATAAGAAAAAAATTAGAGAAAATATATTAATTCAGGAAAACTTGGCTTATTAGGCAAATCGGGCCTTGCATAGTAGGCTGAGAAGTGCGTTCTGGCTACTAGGTACGACATATATATATATATATATATATATATATATATATATATATATATATATATATATATATATATATGTCATATATATATATATATATATATATATATATAATGTCAGACCACGGAGGAAAATGAAACAGGAATTTCCTTAAGTACTTTCGTATATTAAATACATCTTCAGACCCAATAGGCCAGTGTGGATTCCTTCTGAGATGTATTTAATATACGAAAGTACTTAAGGAAATTCCTGTTTCATTTTCCTCCGTGGTCTGACATTGTCATATATATATATATATATATATATATATATATATATATATATATATATATATATATATATATATATATATATGACAATGTCAGACCACGGAGGAAAATGAAACAGGAATTTCCTTAAGTACTTTCGTATATTAAATACATCTTCAGAAGGAATCCACACTGGCCTATTGGGTCTGAAGATGTATTTAATATACGAAAGTACTTAAGGAAATTCCTGTTTCATTTTCCTCCGTGGTCTGACATTGTCATATATATATATATATATATATATATTATATATGACAATGTCAGACCACGGAGGAAAATGAAACAGGAATTCCTTAAGTACTTTCGTATATTAAATACATCTTCAGACCCAATAGGCCAGTGTGGATTCCTTCTGAAGATGTATTTAATATACGAAAGTACTTAAGGAAATTCCTGTTTCATTTTCCTCCGTGGTCTGACATTGTCATATATATATATATATATATATATATATATATATATATATATATATATATATATATATATATATATATATATATATATATATATATGACAATGTCAGACCACGGAGGAAAATGAAACAGGAATTTCCTTAAGTACTTTCGTATATTAAATACATCTTCAGAAGGAATCCACACTGGCCTATTGGGTCTGAAGATGTATTTAATATACGAAAGTACTTAAGGAAATTCCTGTTTCATTTTCCTCCGTGGTCTGACATTATATATATATATATATATATATATATATGACATATATATATATATATATATATATATATATATATATATATATATATATATATATATATATATATATATATATAGCCTAAAAGATGGAAATTTAGGTGTATATGCTCCTGAAAGCTGAATTTAAGATATCAGACCCAATAGGCCAGTGTGGATGCTGAGATTTCGGATCTTTGCTGCTCGTGATAGAGGCTCCCATAAGCCCCTGGCGAAGACAGTAGATCTTGATAGCTCAGTTCGGAATTGGTCCACGAGTTGTTTTTCACGACGCCATAATCTATAGACTTGTTAAACTGAAAAAAAATCAAAGTTGCGAGCTCAGAACTTGAGAACTCGAGTCGCGATAAGTGGGTAAAGAAGCCGAATCCTATAAAATGGGATCTAGATGTGGATTACGAACCTGTGAGTCTCAAAAGTTTAAGGTCGGCTCACTTAGGAAGTAAAACATGAGGTTCGAAAGCTATAAAAGTATAAACAAATCCACAAGGGCCGTGACGAGGATTCGAACCTACGTCCGAGAGCATCCCAGACGCTGCCTTAAACGACTGAGCTAATTCCCTTGTGGATTTGTTCATTTGATGCATCACGCTATTGTGATTTCTGTGTGTACAGAAGTATAGCCTTAATAAGTGTGGTTTACAGAGTTATGGTAAGGTTGGGCCGTAGAGATGTAGATGCTGATGCTGTTATGAGAGTGAGGCGAGATGCTGATGCTGTTATGAGAGGGAGCGAGCATCACAACAACCCCTGGTGAGCAAAACAGGTAGAGAGCGACTCATAAAGAGAAGACAAGGGGGGGGGGGGAACATAGCTGAGCCGAGGTGCCTGCGTCAAATTGGGAAGCCCTCCTCCCCCCACAGTCACCCTTTCCCAGGGTGGGGGGCGCGCGACCCCTCTCCGCCCGGCACGCTCAGTGCCTCCGCGGCTTCTGTGTCAGCAGCACCACCACCAGAAGCGCCAGCATCACCACTATTGGGAGACCCACGCGCGAGCATCACATCTCGGCTGAGGCTGGTGGACTAGACCAAAGCAGCAGCTTTCAGAAGTGATAACTAAGCTGCTCACAGAAGCGGTGACGCCCTCCACTCCCTCCCTCCTTCCCTCCCTTCATCAGCACATGTGGGGCTCCTCCTCCCTCGTCGCTAGATATTGGCACATCATCCTGACTGGCCAATTAGGCTCCTTCAAGAGTGGTGATTTATCTTGCAGCGGCTGAAGCGCCAGGCTGAAGTGTTAAGTCGTCGCTTGCCTCCTCCTCCTCCTCCTCCGGTGACGCCAGCAGTTGTGATCTGCTAATCATTCCTGCCTTATTACTGCCAACCGCCAGTGTTCACTGGCCAACACAAACAGCTTGAGGCCTCCAGGGATTGCACCTCAGTCTGTGACGCTCTCACTGTTGTGGTCTCGCCTCTGTGTGTAGTCTCCTTAATAGTACTAACTCAAAAAGTGCCTCAAATCAAAGTTTCCATCCGTACAGCAACGTTTTCAAAGGCACTGCTGGAAGCTTAAATTTGGTGGTACTGCTGGAATTTGTAATGAAACGTTATTAAAAGAAAACTGAAAATAATGGTTTCGGTTGAAAGTAAATCGAGAGGTACTGAAGGAAGCTGAGAGGTATTCAAGAAAGCTAGTTTTGAGTGGTACTAACTATTGTGTTATTCAGTGGAATTGCGTGATATTAAGACCAGCCGAGTCATCATCACTGCCGAAAACTTAGAGGTGCTAGCAAATTGGGTAGTTCCGAAGAAATTGTTGACAGTACAGGAAGCTGGAGTTTGAAAAACCTGCCTAAAACTGAAGCCATTGATTCCGCCAATAGCTGGATTATGTTGTGCAAACAGTTGGATTAAAGAGTTCCGCCAATACCTGGATTGAGTAGTTCAGTTAACAGCTGGATTAAGTTATTAATGAACAACTGAATTAAATAGTTGTTAAAAACTTCATAAAGTGTTTCTTTCTAAAGCCAGAGTAAAAGGTTCTGTGGAATGCCGGATTAAGTCGTTCTGTTGACATTTAGATAATACCATTTTGGTACTAGAAAGAAGACTCTGAAGGTATCGCTGTAGTGTGTGGGAGAGCCGCAGCTTCCCCAGGGGAACCACCTTCAGCGCCAGGGTGATACCGCAGTGATTGCCTCTAAATATTACAGGTGTAATTAGATCCGAATGGCCATGAACAGGTACTGGACCCCAACATAAAATTCTAGATTCCATAAATAGCCAATGAGAGTGCGGCACATCGTTCGTTTTTCGGACGAAGGGGGAAATATATCCTAATTCCGGATTTTGTGCCAAAGGAAGGCTTGACCTGAGTAAGAAGTCAGTGTGCCAATAGCACCATATTAGTGTCGTAGTAGTATTTCCGTGTGTCCAGCTCCAGCTGTTTAAAGATGGCGTGTAACTCCTCATATTAAAGCGACTGTGTCGGCGCTCATCTGCTTGTACTCCGGTTCAAGTGGTGACTGTTGTAGTGAGGGGAGTGGGACTCGTGAGGACTGATCACCAGGTGGGTGTGAGGTCAGGTGGAGGAGGGGGGAGGGGGGGGGGCGTGTCCCCTGTGCAGCGGCGGCTGGTGATTGGCTGAGGGCGGGGCCTGGTAAGGCCGACCAGTGGTGGTGGCAGTGTAGCGGGAGGCTGAGAGTCGCTCGCCCGCGGTACCGCAGTAAGATCAATGGCTACACTCTCTCACGCTCACTAGGCCCATCACACCACAGGCCTCTACGACTATCACAACAACATCCAACGAGGTTGAGAGTGCCAGGCTGTGGTGATTTGTGTGGCTCTCCCCCCCCCCTCCTCCTCTCCCCTTCCCCCCACCCCTACACAACTCCCCCCTCACATTGAGCTTCTCCGTTCCCCTTTATACCCTTGTTTCGACGACCTCTGAAGCCTTACTAGTGAATCTTTGGGCCTTATAAATGTTCGTGACCCCTGAGTGTTTGAACCTCGAGTGTGATCTGACACATGACCTGTTAGAGACAAGTGTCAGGATTGTGGTGCCAGAGGTGTAGTGTGCGTGGGTGCCATCATCTGTGCCGCTCGGTAGTCGGGTCCCCTCTGACACTCCTCCGCTGTGTCACTGTGAATCTTCCCTTCAGTCGTCAAAAATATATATCTCCTCCACAGAGAAAATTACCTGTGGTGCTTTCGAACAGAAAGAAGTGAAATTAATATATATATTTATATACAGTATATATATACATATATGTATATATAAAAATACATATATGTATATATATATATACGTGTCTGTATATGTAGTGGTGCTTGATCTTCAGTAGCGATGTGTGAGAAGCGTAGATTATGCAAAGCAGTCATGGCTTTCTGCTAATCCTTCTACCTTTGAATTAGTATATTTAAAATCCAAACCTTATTTTAAAAAGAGCTTTTTTTTACAATTGGAATTTTTATTAGTCCTGCACAAATGGCTTTCTCTGATCGACAACGAGAACGCCAGTTCGCACGTTGTCTCAGATGACGTGCTTTTTCTGGGACAAAAAAACTTTCTTCAATTAGTGTGGAAGCCAAGACAGAGCTTGGCGTAGGGCCGTCGCCCCCAGCACCAGGTGTGGAGAGGCAGAGCCAACTGCTCACCTGCAAAATTCGGTGAATGAAAATTAATCTGGTTAGTGCGGCTTCAATAACACCGTCAAGATGTTGGATATCTTCCGTGGCCTCAAGAACTTCATCAAGGTCTCCCACGTCCACATTGACTCGTCGGTGTTCCGTCTCCACTACTCCATAACGGTGATGATCCTCTTGGCCTTCAGCCTCATCGTCACCACACGTCAGTACGTTGGGAACCCTATCGATTGTATCCACGCCAAGGAGATTCCGGAGGACGTGATCAACACGTACTGTTGGATTCACTCCACCTACACCATCCCCTCGGCCTTCAACAAGAGACTGGGTATTGACGTGGCCCATCCAGGGATAGAGAAGTCCCAGGATGAGGAAGAGAAGCGCTACGTCAAGTACTATCAGTGGGTCTGCTTCTGCCTCTTCTTTCAGGTAAGTGAACAAAATTGCAATGCCCAGTTTGGCAACAAGTTGCCAAACTGCCACAATCTCTTTAATATTTTGGTACATTTGCTTCCCAAAGTCCTATAGTAATGCTGAAGTTAAGGATATATATATATATATATATATATATATATATATATATATATATATATATATATATATATATATATATATATATATATATGTATGTATATATATATATGTATGTATAATATATATGTATGTATATATATATGTATGTATAATATATATGTATGTATAATATATATGTATGTATAATATATATGTATGTATAATATATATGTATGTATAATATATATGTATGTATAATATATATGTATGTATAATATATATGTATGTATAATATATATGTATGTATATATATATGTATATATATGTATGTATGTATATATATATATATATATATATATATATATATATATATATATATATATATATATATATATATATATATATATATATATATATATTATAAAACAAGCGTTTTCAGCTGCCGCCGCAGTTGTTAAGTTGCAACTGATGCTGGTTCGTTAAGTTGCTGCAGTTGTTACTTGGTTAAGTTGCTGCAGGTGTTACTTAGTTAAGTTGCTGCAGGTATTGGGTTGGTGTTTGTTGGCACCGGACCAAAAGAAACAGGCGGGCGATACTTAAGAGTTGCTTCCATCATTAGTTGGGGGATTTACACCCTCACTCATCCCAATATTTTTCTTGTCTTTCACATAAAGTTTTCTGTGACTGGTGGCAGCGGTGGTATTTACATTTGGAGAGGAAGGAGAATTTACAGGCGATGAGTCACAATAACGTGGCTAAAGTAAGTTGACCAGACCACACACTAGAAGGTGAAGGGACGACGACGACGTTTCGGTCCTTCCTGGACCATTCTCAATTGACTTGAGAATGGTTTGGTCAAGGAGAATTTACATCAGATGTAACAAAATTAACTTAAGATTATTAAACTCTTGATGGCCAAATCTCCCGTGAATAACTAATTTTTCTCAAAGGAAAAATTAAAAAAAATTAAAACTGTAAATTTTAAGCAGATTCTATCTTTTATTTTTTGATTGTGATGTTACAAGTGATTCCAGGTGTGAGGAAGCCACATATATAAATTCTTCTTCTATTACTCAATAATATCGTCTCATAGCGAGCAGTCAAGCACGAACAGTCAAAAAGACAGACCTAAAAGTCTGTTTCGGTCAATCCTGGACCTTTACCAAGTCGATAATGGTCCAGAATGGACCGAAACGTCGTCGTCTCTTCATCTTCTGATGAAGAGACTTCAAATCTCCAGACTTCAAATCTCCAAAGAGTTTTCAAATCTCCAAACCACGTTATTTTGACTCATTGTCTGCCTATTAGAGGGGCGTTTGAACAACTTTTATCGCAGCTAAAACATTTTGATTCAATTTCTAAAGAAAACCTTCAATGTTCGCTGTAGTTATTCTTAAGTTAGACTTAGAAAATGAATACAGGCGGAAGTTTCGTGCTAAAAATAGCGTCAAGGTACGTCAAGACTTTTGGAAACTTGAAGAAATTTTGGAAAGAATTTCGTTATTACTGTTGTTGCTGTTGCTACCTGGGTATTATTACCGTTGTCTGGGTATTATTACCGTTGTCTGGGTATTATTACCGTTGTCTGGGTATTATTACCGTTGTTGTCTGGGTATTATTACCGTTGTTGTCTGGGTATTATTACCGTTGTTGTCTGGGTATTATTACCGTTGTTGTCTGGGTATTATTACCGTTGTTGTCTGGTTATTATTACCGTTGTTGTCTGGGTATTATTACCGTTGTTGTCTGGGTATTATTACCGTTGTTGTCTGGGTATTATTACCGTTTTTGTCTGGGTATTAATACCGTTTTTGTCTGGGTATTAATACCGTTTTTGTCTGGGTATTAATACCGTTTTTGTCTGGGTATTAATACCGTTTTTGTCTGGGTATTAATACCGTTTTTGTCTGGGTATTAATACCGTTTTTGTCTGGGTATTAATACCGTTTTTGTCTGGGTATTAATGCCGTTTTTGTCTGGGTATTAATGCCGTTTTTGTCTGGGTATTAATGCCGTTTTTGTCTGGGTATTAATGCCGTTTTTGTCTGGGTATTAATGCCGTTTTTGTCTGGGTATTAATGCCGTTGATGTCTGGGTATTAATACCGTTGATGTCTGGGTATTAATACCGTTTTTGTCTGGGTATTAATACCGTTTTTGTCTGGGTATAAATACCGTTTTTGTCTGGGTATAAATACCGTTTTTGTCTGGGTATAAATACCGTTTTTGTCTGGGTATAAATACCGTTTTTGTCTGGGTATAAATACCGTTTTTGTCTGGGTATAAATACCGTTTTTGTCTGGGTATAAATACCGTTTTTGTCTGGGTATAAATACCGTTTTTGTCTGGGTATAAATACCGTTTTTGTTTGGGTATAAATACCGTTTTTGTCTGGGTATAAATACCGTTTTTGTCTGGGTATAAATACCGTTTTTGTCTGGGTATAAATACCGTTTTTGTCTGGGTATAAATACCGTTTTTGTCTGGGTATAAATACCGTTTTTGTCTGGGTATAAATACCGTTTTGTCTGGGTATAAATACCGTTTTTGTCTGGGTATAAATACCGTTTTTGTCTGGGTATAAATACCGTTTTTGTCTGGGTATAAATACCGTTTTTGTCTGGGTATAAATACCGTTTTTGTCTGGGTATAAATACCGTTTTTGTCTGGGTATAAATACCGTTTTTGTCTGGGTATTAATACCCACTGTTATGCTTCCCGGTGTTGCTCATGCCTCGCTTCATGCAGGCCGCCGTTCGATCCCCAACGATGCACGGGATTGACCACCATTCTTTTTTTTTCGTTCATATATTCCAATCTTCTATCCTGTCCTCATAGCCTAGCTTCTATCCTGTCTTGATAACCCAGCTGCTATCCTGTCTTGATAACCCAACTGCTATCCTGTCCTGATATCCCAGCTGCTATCCAACCCTGATATCCTAGCTGCTATCCTCTCCTGATATCCCAACTTCTATCCTGTCCTCGTATCCCAGCTGCTCTCCATTCCTAATATCCCAGCTGCTATCCTGTCTTGATATCCCAGCTTCTATCCTATCCTGATATCCCAGCTTCTATCCTATCCTGATATCCCAGCTTCTATCCTATCCTGATATCCAAGCTTCTATCCCATCCTGATATCCAAGCTTCTATCCTATCCTGATATCCCAGCTGCTATCCTATTCTGATATCCCAGCTGCTATCCTATTCTGATATCCCAGCTGCTATCCTATTCTGATATCCCAGATGCTATCCTGTTCTCATTCTTTCCACTTACTGTGCAGTCAAATAATATTAGCATTTTCTTCTGATAATTATACCTTCGGAAAATAACCTTCCACGTATACCATTTGTAGATGACTGAGACAATCCGGTCCTGTGCAAATATTTCCCAAGTCCACAGAGTTCCTCAAGATGTTAGACATGAGCAATTAAATAAATGTGAGACATTGGGAAACAAGGATTCTTGGGCAGAGACTGTGCCAGTGGGGCAAAGCATGCCAACGCAACAACGTAGCAAGGAAAGCATGCTACGTTGGCAAGGCTGATTCTACGTTGGATTGACGTTAGTCTTGAATGTTGTGCCCAGTAGGTAGCAAATAGTAACGAGTCCAAGAGGGAGGCAGCAACGACAAATTGTGAATGAACCTAAGAGGCAATTAAGATAGTCAAGGGTGGCGTTGGCTATTGTTGTGGCGTTGGTTTGACGTTGTTGTATCGTTATGAACGTTAATGCAGTGTTGAATCATCGCTGATATCGTCAGTGTTGCGTTTAATTGACGTTGCTCTTGAAAATTATGATCTTCCTTTCCTATTTCTTTGTGGATTTTCCGCATATATATATATATATATATATATATATATATATATATATATATATATATATATATATATATATATATATATATATATATATATATATATATATATATATATATATATATATATATATATATATATATATATATATATGTATATATATATATATATATATAATGTACTGAATAGAACTGAATAGAACACCTCACTTGCCAAACATGCCATGCCATCTTAAAAATTCACTTTGAATTCAAAAAAACAGTGTGAAAAAATTCACACTGTTTTTATATCTTTGTGTCTCTGTGTATGTCTGTGTTTATATCTTTTTGTCTCTCTGTGTATGTCTGTGTTTATCCCTTTCTCTGTCTCTGTGTATGTCTGTTTTTATATTTTTGGGTCTCTGTGTATGTCTGTGTTTATATCTTTTTGTCTCTCTGTGTATATGTCTGTTTATCCCTTTCTCTGTCTCTGTGTATGTCTGTTTTTATATCTGTGTCTCTGTGTATGAGTTTATCTCTTTCTGTGTGTCTGTGTATGTCTGTTTTTATCTCTTTCTGTGTGTCTGTGTTTTTATCTCTTTCTATGTGTGTGTGTATCGCTGTGTTAAAGGTACTGTGAGGAGTACACCAGCTCATCACAGTACCATGAGCAGGTAGCCATAACGGTACACGGTGCAGCTTAAGCATTAGTGATAGTGAACTGATTTCCTCGCAGTTCACCAAAACCAATTATAACTAATGCTTAATGCTCGCGGAACTATTCCCAAGTGGCTGACAAGAACAAATGGCAATTTTAACATGCTGTTGAATCTAATTGGATATTTTCCGTGTCCCTATTTCCACTGTTTTTTTGTTTTAGTTCACAAATTCTATCTGATAGTCCATGTTACATAGATTTAATAGCATTATATTAACCTGCATATGATTAGTTTTACTGAAAACAATAATGTTTACTACTAGGGGAACAGGTGAATCAGGTGAAAGAAACTCGCCCCATTTGTTTCTATCTCGGCCAGGATTAGAACCTGGGCCCCCTTAGGACAGCGACAACGAGCTGTGTCTGCTCAGCCGCAAGGACCTGTGTATTCAGCTATTTGTACCT